TCTGATTCTGCCACAAAGTGGTACATAGGGGTTTTTAGGGATTCCAAACACAATGGTAACAGATTTGAACAGTTCAGTTGCCAAGATAATGAAATGGAAGCCTCTGATTGGTCGAAATTTAGTTGTTTTCTGATTCTGCCCAAAATTGGTACATAGGGGTTTTCAGAGATTTCGAACACAATGATAACAGTTTCGAAAAGTTCAGTTGCCATGGTAACGAAATGGAGGCCTCTGATTGGTCGAAATTTAGTTGTTTTTTGATTCTGCCCAAATTACGTACATAGGAGTTTTCAGGAATTCCGAACAAAATGGTAACAGTTTCGAAAAGTTCAGTTGCAATGGTAACGAAATGGAGGCCTCTGAATGGTCGAAACTTAGATGTTGTCTGATTCTGCCTAGAATTGGTACATAAGGGTTTTGAGGGATGCGAAAACACGATGGTAACAGTTACGGAAGATTTAGTTGCCATCGTAAAAAAATGGAGGCCTCTAATTGGTCGAAATTTAAATGTTGTCTGATTCTGTTCAGAATTGGTACATAGGGGTTTTAAGGGATGCCAAAACACAATGGTAACAGTTTCGAACAGATCAGTTGCCATGGTAACAAAATGGAGTCCTCTGATTGGTTGAAATTTAGCTGTTGTCTGATTTTGCCTATGTTCCTAAGTCCAACAGGCGTCGTTTAGGGGACTAATCTGTAACGGCCATCCGTTACAATTATTACTAGTTATTATTATTATTATTCTTCTGTGTTCTTCTTCTTCTTCTTCTTCTTCTTCTTCAGCCATGAACTTGTCCAGAGGTCTTCTCAGAAACTACTGGGCGGATAATCATGAAACTACACACATATACTCATTAGGAGGTCTAGGTGTGCAACAAGCTATTTTTATCTCGACCGGAAGTCCAAGATGGCCGCTATGAATTTTTGGGAATTTAAAATTTCTAAAGGTGTTCGCTAAGGTTAGCCAATGTCACCTATCCTATTTTAAATGTTTTACATATATTTTCCAATGCATTCCAAATTTGGCATGTAGGTGTATGATGGTACCGCAAACACAACTATGACATCCGTTTTCTAATTAAACAAAAAGGCCACCATATACTGGTTTCTGATTGGTCGAAGCTCCGTTGTAGTTCAATTTAGTTTAAATTTAGTATGTATGTGTAATATGGCATTGCAAACTCAACTGCGACATTTGTTTTCTAATTTGACAAAATGGCCACCATATACTGGGTTCTGATTGGTCCAAATATAGATGTTGTCTGATTGTCACCGGAATCGGTACATAAGGGTTTTGAGTGATGCCGAACAAAATGGTAACAGTTTCGAAAAGCTCAGTTACCATGATAACGAAATGGTGGCCTCTGATTGGTCGAAATTAAGAAATTGTCTGATTCTGTCCAAAATAAGTACATAAGGGTTTTTAGCGATGCCAAACACACTGGTAACAGTTTCGAACAACTCAGTTGCCAAGGTAACGAAATTTGGCCCTCTAATTGTTCGAAATTTAAATGTTGTCTGATTCTGCCTAAGTCCAACAGGGGTCGTTGGGGGACTTCTGTAACGGCCATCCGTTACAATTAGTACTAGTTAAGTCTTATTATTATTCTTCTGTGTTCTTCTTCATCTTCTTATTCTTCAGCCAAGAACTTGTCCGGAGGTTTTCTCAGAAACTACTGGGCGGATAATCATGAAACTTCACACACATACCCATTAGGGGGTCTAGGTGTGCAACAAGCTATTTTTATCTCGATCGGAAGTCCAAGATGGCCGCCATGAATTTTTGAAATTTTTGGGAATTTAATATTTCTAAAGGTGTTCGCTAAGGTTAGCCAATGTCACCTATCCTATGTTACATGTTTTACATATATTTTCCAATGCATTCCAAATTTAGCATGTATAAGTATGATGGTACCGCAAACACAACTATGACATCCGTTTTCTAATTAAACAAAATGGCTGCCATATACTGGGTTCTGATTTGTCGAAATATAGATGTTGTCCGATTCTGCCCGGAATTGGTACATAGGGGTTTTGAGTGATGCCGAAAACAATGGTAACAGTTTCGAAAAGCTCAGGTACCATGGTAACTAAATGGATGCCTCTGATTAGTCGAAATTTAGAAGTTGTCTGATTCGGTCCAAAATAAGTACACAAGGGTTTTTAGGGATGCTAAACACGATTGTAACAGTTTCGAAAAGTTTAGTTGCCATGGTAACGAAATGGAGGCCTATGATTGGTCGAAATTTAGCTGTTGTCTTATTAAATGAAGTCCTCTCATTGGTCGCAATTTAGCTGTGGTCTGAATCTGTCGTGAATTGGTACATAGGGGTTCTAAGGGATGCGAAACACAATGGTAACAGTTTCGAACAGCTAAGTTGCCATGGTAACAAAATGGAGTCATCTCATTGGTCGCAATTTAGCTGTTGTCTGTTTTTGCCTAAGTCCCTAAGTCCAACAGGGGTCGTTGGGGGACTTCTGTAACAGCCATCCGTTACAGTTAGTACTAGTTCTTCTGTGTTCTTCTTCTTCTTATTATTCTTCAGCCATGAACTTGTCTGGAGGTTTTCTCAGAAACTACTGGGCGGATAATCATGAAACTACACACATATACTCATTAAGGGGTCTAGGTGTGCAACAAGCTATTTTTATCTCGACCGGAAGTCCAAGATGGCCGCTATGATTTTTTGAAATATTTGGGAATTTAAAATTTCTTAAGGTGTTCGCTAAGGTTAGCCAATGTCACCTATCCTATTTTACATGTTTTACATATATTTTCCAATACATTCCAAATTTAGCATGTAGGTGTATGATGGTACCGCAAACCCAACTATGACATCTGTTTTCTAATTAAACAAAATGGATGCCATATACTGGTTTCTGATTGGTCGAAGCTCCGTTGTAGTTCGATTTAGTTTAAATTTAGTATGTATGTGTAATATGGCATTGCAAACTCAACTGCGACATTTGTTTTCTAATTTGACAAAATGGCCACCATATACTGGGTTCTGATTGGTCCAAATATAGATGTTGTCTGATTGTCCCCGGAATCGGTACATAAGGGTTTTGAGTGATGCCGAACACAATGGTAACAGTTTCGAAAAGCTCA